TAAACTTTTTTAATGGCATTAACTATTTTGATGAGGGATTTAAATCTGATTTAAAGCGGAAGTTGGGTTGGATATGTGTTTTCATTTGGCAAAATTTTTAAAAATGACATTTATTTGCTCTAAAATTTATTATTTAAATCGAAAACTTAAAAAATAATATTCTGCTTGGCAAAGAGGCGCATGCCTTCTGATGTGGTTAGTCTTCCGGAAGTGCGGTGCTCAGACACTATTTTCTCTTAAACATGAGTGAACTCCCAACTTAGTTCAACTAATATACAAGTGGGTTAGAAGAGCAAGCATAACTTGTCAAAGAACTAATCTAAAGGAGTATATAAAAAGACCGCTGAATTGGAAATATACATAATTTTGAAGCTATGGGTCATATAGATCGTAATTGGTCACATATGTCATTAGTAACGAGTTGTGATAATGTCGGTAGGTCATAGGGGTCAGGAATGGTAGGTTGTTGTGGACTGTGTGGGTCATAGTTGATTGTATAAGCAGTAGTGGGGAGCTGCAATGAAGTTTGTAGCTCGCAGAGTCTGGAGTGGAGATCTACACGAGCGATAAGTCATATAAGTCGCAGTTGATCGCGTAGGTCGTAGTGTTTAGTTGTGATGACGTATGTATGTTACAGGGGCAAGAGTCGTGAACTGCAATGAAGGATCTTCAAGAGTTCAAAGAAAGTCACTGTCTTCAAGGTGCATTGTTACATCATCTATAGAAAGTGTCATTGCATCATATTTGGGGTGCACTGTTACACTATTATCGGGTTCTATTGTTGAACCGTATTTAGGGGTGTTGTTATATCATCTTTGGGAGGCGTCATTACACCATATCATAGGTGTGTTATTACACTGTCTGTGGGGTGCTTCACCGTTCTACAACATATGCTTGGATTCCACATCATACATTGTGACTTCACAGTGGACTTCACTACATGGAGCAGGTGGTGGCCAATAATGGTCAATTGTGGCAGGCATGTGATAGTCAGAGTTGGTCAGCGGGGTGGGCTGGAGCTAGTTGTAGGCGATGACTCAAGGCGTTGGAGGCATCAACAGCCATAGTTGGTTGGAGGATGTGGTGCCTGGATTTGATTGACGGCGACTTCGGTCAGAGTTGGTTGCAGATGTCGAGCGAGTGGGTGGCATTTGTTGGATCTAAAGTGAAGAAGCAATGCTAGACTCTAGCTAAACTTTAAAGCTTTTGTCTTCTTCTAGCTCCAAATCCCTCTTTATTTTCAAAAGGGGATAGAGTTCCATTTATACAGTATAGTGTGTGAATAAGAAAAGAATTTGAATCACTCTGATAGGGGCCATGAGAGATTCCTTCAATCAGATGGTTTTTTATGAGCATTTAATTACTTCAATAATATAATAATTGCGCAATCTTGAGCTCGTTGGATTTGTCTTGCACATAAGATTGTCAAATTTAAAATCTGTTTGATCTTCCAACTATTCCCGAAAAGCCCCCAAAAATGGTTTAACAGATAGATCGTGGCTTGATCTAACTCTCATCGGGTCGATTTTTGTATTGTTGGGTCAGCCTCTTTGAGCCGACTATTGGATTATAAATTTGCTGAGATCCGACTTCTAGATGGTCATTAATTAAATTTTGAATATTTCATATTAAAAAACTATCTCAAAGTTCGTGTCACGGCTCGAGATTTATGCAGCCGATGAGGGTTTATTGATGGCTGCAATGATCTCATAAAAAATATTACTATTTTAATTTTAAAAAAAAACAAAAGATATATTTTCTTTGCACATGTAAGATGGTATGTACTAAAAATTTGAATTTTACTTACAAGATGTGTAAATAAATAGGAAAATGTAAATGTTCAACTTTCATTTTTTTGCATGTTTCATGTGATTCATTTTATAAAGTTGCTGATATAATTATATATTAAGTTGTGAAATACCCATATAAAAGATTTAAAATATCACATTGTCATAAAAAGCTGCACCCATTTGATAATGACTCTTCATATGGGTTTGCAATAAATAGTTTATGGAGGACTTATGAAACTAAAATGTTCGTTTGGGGCAGTTTGTGCTTTTCAGGATAAACAGTTTATTGTGAAACGCGGCGCGCGTGTCGACCGCGAGGTTCAACCCTCGGTCTGCGTTTAGTGTAAAAATGGAACCGCGTTTTCGGATAAGTGGACAAAACGCGCGAATCAAACAGTACCGTGGTGTTTTCAAAAACGCGCCGCACTTATAAGCTACCCCAAACGGGCCGTAAATTGATTATTTATATAATTTTTAATTATAACATTTTAAACATGATACAATTGTAAGAAAAGTAAAGAATTTAACATTTAAGTTTTATATGAAATTTAACCCAAATAAGAAGAAGGTTGTAAAAGAAATTAAAGTTTTCACATAAAAAAATTAAGAAAAAAAAAATATTTGGGTGGTGTAAATGTAAAACATAAAGTTCAAAGAATTTGGTGATATATATGTAAATGACGCTAATTTTTATGATGAAAAATCAAATATAATCAGATAAAAATTGCTAAGAAAAAAAAAACAGACAAAATATTTAAATTCGATCTAATTAATATAATCTTTTAGTATAATAGTATTTATTTAAAAATATTTAAATTCGATCTAATTAATATAATCTTTTAATATAATAGTATTTATTTAAAAATAAAATTAAAAACGACAAAATTGACTTTTCTGAAAATCGATTTTCCACGGTTTAAATTTTTTCTTTCAATTCTGACACTTGCTGAAAATGAGGAGCAATTTATGATTATTATAATTATTATCATTATTATTATCATTATTATTATTAT